AAAATTATTCTTTATCTTTTTGATTACTGTGGTTGATTCAGTTTTTTAGTTGTTGTATATTGAAATATGTACTTGTACAGTCTATAATTACAATGTATGATTTATTATAGAGCTAAAAGATGCCTGTTGCTACTTTAGTCTATGGGATTATCAGGATATCACGGTTAATCAATGGTTCAGCTGCTTGCTGGTACTGATGGTCTATGCAGTGTGTGCATGTGCTTACAATTTTCTCGATCTGGCTGTTTATATTTGGCCAATATATCACCTACTTTGCTCATTATGCATTTTTCCATTCCTAAGTGTCCAGTGTGGATTTTCTGTAATGCTTATTTTCATGAAGAGTGAGGAACTATTATTCTTGTACCTTTCAATACTAGCCCTTTAGTAATTGATATTTCATCACAAATAGGCATGTATGGTGAAATTGAGTTGGGTACATTTTTATTTTTCGTAGGCCATGCTGTTGTTGCGTACTGCATTAAAGTTTGTAAGATTGGGTCTTTACTTGTTTCTTCTCTATATGTATTGAGTTTGTAATCACTCATCAGATACTACTTTAATATAGTATGAATATAAGTGTTCATTTCTGTATTATATTTCTTGAGTGTCATCTGACAGACATGCACATGATAGTGTGCTGGCTGTTATTACTGATTCACAGCCTGGTATATAAAAAAGATCAAACTTATTTCTGTAATGCTTATAGAATTCTGAATTCTTGGGAGATTTTTTGTGGTTGATTTCTTGAAAATCTGTTTTAATGGCTTGATCATTTTCAACAATAAAATGTGTTGCATATAATAAATTGGTGAAATTTATTACAAGCAAATACTATGCTTAATTTTAGTTTCAATAGGACAATAATTTTGATGCGCATGATATCGGTAACAACGTGCTACCATGTTTTTGTTGTAATACCACGCCTAAACATTTTTTTTTTTTTTTTTTATAAAACTTGCACCTGGAGTAATTTTTGTCTAATTTTGGATTATAGAATTGCAAAATTGGGTTGTTTGTAATCATTTGCTTCAGTTTTTCTATAGCTTCTTTCTGAGGCTTGTCAAACAACCAGTGTACTTCGTTATGAACATGCTCTTGTAACAGTGTAGTTATTTCTAAGTATTTAGGTATGGATTTGCATATGTAATTTGTCATCTCTAAAAATCTTTGTAGATCATTTTTATTTTCAAGGTTTAGCATTTGTGTAAATGCTTTTATTTTTGATAGGTCTCGTTTTATTCCTTCATGTGTGACTAAGCGACCTACGTATGTCATTTGTTGAGCCACAAACTTGCATTTTGATTTATTTAATTTTAAGCCTGACTTTTGTAGTCAACTGAAGACTTGACTTAATATTTCAATGTGCTCATGTGTGCCTGACCATATTATTATGTCGTCTTGGGAATTCCTTGTATTTCTTCTATAATTTTTGCTATTTAGACTTGGAATACCTCACTTGCACTGTGTATCCCATATGGCAAATGAGTAAAAGAGTATCTTCCAAATGGTGAATTGAAGGTTAGAAATTTTAAGCTTTCTTCTCCATGGGTATGTGCAAATATCCATTCAATATGTCTAATTTTGTAAAGTACTTTGGATTACACATTTCCACAAATATCTCTTCTACTGTAGGTAGCTTGACGTGCTCTCATTTTATCGCTTTATCTCAGAGTCTCGGTCTAAGCATAATCATAGTTTGCCATTTTCTTTTTCTACTATTACTAAAGAGTTTACTCAGTCTGTAGGTTCCAGTACACCAGGTATTTATTATTCCCATTTTGTCATGTTTTCCAGTTGTTTTTTTAGTTTTGGTTTCATACCAAATGGGATATTTCTTGGAGGATTTATAACGAGTGTTATTTCTGGGTTTACTGTCATGTAGTGCGTAAACAGTAATTTGCCTATCTCCCCAAAACAGTCTTCATATTCCTCTAATAAACTCGGTATGTCTTTTTTATTTCTTTTTGAAATTCTTTTTATTAGGTTTAGCTTTTCAGATGTTATTGCCTCGAGGACTGCATTTGAATTCATTTTTGCTACTCTAAAGTGTGTTAATAATTCCAAATTTTTGTTGTGTAGTGTTGCTGTGCAACTTCATAAATATAAGCATTCAGTTTTACTGATATTCTATGTAATTTTGGTTTTGGAGTAATATTTTTATATATTCTCATAAGTAATATGTTCACTTCTGCACTTGTGTCGATTTTAAATGTTGCCAGTGATTCATTCACTCCAAGATTGATTGCCATCGATTCTGTTCTACTAAATTTAGGTTCTTTTGAATAGCATCCATGCCATACACCTCGTCATCTGACGTTTCTGTGCTGCAGGATGTTTTTATGTAATTTTTTTTCCTGGATCTGCACATTTTAGCAAAGTGTCCCTTTTTTCCACAATTCTTAGAGTTTTTGCAAGATGCAGGACAGTTTTTTTTTCTTGCGTGAACCTGAGCAGTATTCACAGGAGTTTATCCAGCTTTCATGAGCTTTTCATCTTTACTTGTAGTAGCCATGTTTTTATTTGGAAATCTGGTTTTGATTTTGGTGCCATTATTTTTTTCAGTCATATATCAGAGATATTTTCTGTTTCTGATCAAGTATTTATTATTTTTGACTGTCTTCTGGTTTCTTCCACACTTTGACCTGCCTGTATTGCTTTTTCTAAATTTACTTCCAGTTCTTGCAGCATGTGTTCATGTAATGCACAGTTTCTGATGCTACATATTAACATGTCTTTTATTAATCTGTCTGAGATTTACCCAAATTCACATTGATTTGCTTTGTGGCATAATTCTGTTACATAATCGTCAAACCTCTGTTTTTTTTGTTTATACATAAAGAACTTATGCATGAGCAATGTTAGATTCTTTCTCGGTTGGCAGTATGTATTAAATCTTTCTATCCCTACCTTAAAATCATTCTTCTGTTCTTCATTCTCAAATACAAATGTTGAGTATATGTTTGCCTCATGTTAACAGAATTGAGGCCGTTATTATGCCAGCCTTTATATCCTTGTAGCTTGTAGGTATAATTTGATCACACCATTTTATCCACATCTGTGCTAAGTTTTCCAGTGAAGTTCAATTCTTTTGGATAAGGTAGAAATTCCATCCGTTTTCTTTTGTGTATCCTGTATTGTGGGAATTATTAGTTCTGTGCTTCTGACACCATTTTATATTTTGCTATCATGTTAATAATAAATTAATAAGAAAGATATAAAACAATGAGGTAGAACAATATGTCTGAACAATCTGGACAACTTTATTGAAACTGATATCTTTGCTCAATGTTGGTAGGAGGTAGTGTTTATGGTGAGTGTTAGCAAGAGGTAATGACAGTATGCAACAGTACTTGCTTTTTGATTATGTCCACCTTTTTAAAAATACTCTGAATAATTAGATTACTGAATCTACTTCTGAATTACTGTTTTATTCTGAAGGCAAAAAGATGACAGCAAGATGGGAAGTTGTAAAAAGGTGTTTTTGAGTATGAAAAAACTCAATTTGTTAAGCTGTCAAAACTTATTGATGTAGCTGTTGAGCAACAAAATGTTTCCCATTGTTTAAAAGTTTTTTGTGATCAAACTGTAGCTGCCATTAAAACATATCCCATTATTAAATGGGAAGATACTGCAGAAACAGTTAATTTCATTTAAAGATTTTTAAAATTTCTGTGTCAAAGAAATATATGGTGACACTAAGAAAAATGAAAGAAATAGATTTCAGTAATTTAAAAATTCCACTGGATACCAGATATTTTTTATCTTCAATTTGCCCCCTTTTTACATATATTTAATTGGTTAACTTCAAATTATCCTGTTAATTGTGTTCTTATTAATGTAAATTGATTTTAATTTTTAAAACTATGTATACTGGTAACATTTATTATTGTATCATAGTGAAATAAGTATTTTCTTCATCTTCTGTGAAACAAATTGTAGATTTAACAAAAATCACAAAAATTATTTTCTCTGAAATTTACGTTTTTTGTAAAGTATTTTCAGACTTTGTTGATACATGATTTTGGAAAATGCTGAAATTGCTTTCTGATTGTATTATACAATTTTATATTTTCTGTAATCAATTGACATAAGCAAATTAACACATTATTTTTGCAATATCATCTAAAAATGTCTACTTTATGATGAATAAAGTGATTTTTGCGCATTTAGTTATTTTTTTTTTTTTCTTTGTACATTTGCATTTATGGAAATAAGTCAATAATTGTAAGATGCTTCCTAATATTACATATTATTACTAATTACTGGACATTACTAATAAGTTCCTTGCTAAAAATGTTCTCAGTAATTGTTTAATAGTAATTTATGTCTCCACGTGTCTGCATCCAATCACATGGTTGCCAGGCCTGATATAAAGATCACCTTGATATGAATAGAACTTACAGGAAACAAATGAAAGTGAACTTAAAGCCAATCAATGAAGAATGACATTTTTTACGCTGATCCCAAAAGCCACAGATTAACAGAATAAAGAACAAATAAAGGCAATGTGAAAAATTAGTGACATTAAGCATGTTCTGTTTCAAATTTCAGAATTAATGGAAAATGAATAGCCAAAGATAGAAGTATTCCTTTTTATTGAAAAAATTACCTGAAGAAAATCTTATTCTTTACCTTTAAACTTAAAATATCTGCAAACTCATTCCTTGATTAAGAATTCAGTGAATAGAAACAGAGCATTGAGGAACTATTCAAAAAAAAAAAAAATTAGGATACAAATAATATTAATGTTTTAAACTTAAATCTTAAATGCAATTTCAATAATAATATTATTTCTTAAAATTAATGTGAAAAAAAAATTAGTTTTTTATTAAATTAAAGTGCCTTCAAACAAAGCAAAGAAAAAGAAAAAAATGGTATTAAAAGTGTATTCTAAGTTTAATAGCTTAATTGGTGTAATTGCCGTTTTAAATTTGGACAATACTTACATTAGTAAAACATTAATTAAAAAAAAAAAAAAAAAAAAAAAAAATTCTTACCAGCCTAGATTGGTCCATTTTTCCATTGTAGAAGAACAAAAGCTGACTGCAAAGTTCTGATACTATTCGTACATTCACACGAGATTGTTTTGGAAAAGCAGATAGTTTTGAATCAAAAATTTCCCGTTGATGCATTGCCTAAAAGAAAGCAGATTATATTAATTACAGGAATTCTTGATAATATGATTAAGACATAAAATTTACAGAGAAATTCTATACAAAGATGTCTGATTCTACCTCTTTCTTCCGGGTCCGATATCCTCTGTAAAAGGTTTGAATTTTAATTGCGCTTTCATTTTGGATTCTTAATTCCTGAAAAGAAAGATTGAGATTATAATACAGAGCTTATTTATTACCATGTAAATTTATGATTTACATTAAGCCATATATTTCAATCATGTCATGATGCTTAAGACTAATTTCTAAATATTTTGTATAATTTATCTTTCAATTTTTTTTTTATTTAAATGCAAACAACTGAGACAGGATATGTTATTTATTATGTTATACAAGTAATCATATTTCTTCAGTAGTGACTCAAATAATGTAAAGATAAAGAATGTTAATACCTCTCGTCTTTGCCTTTCTTCTTGCGCTCTCCTTATTAAATCTTCTCTGTGCTCCTGAAAGAAAAGAAAACTTTATACAGTATATATCCATCTCTAAATGTACTGGTATTAAATTCATAAAAAGAAAAAAAATGTAACAAATTGTAATACTTCAACTAATATTGAAACAAAATAATTTAATGTTTAAAAATATCTTAACATTCCTAAAACAATCTAGGCTAATTATGAATCATTATCTCAATTTCTGAGATGTAACCTTATTTCAACTTTTTTTTTTTCAAGATCAAATTATATTTGTAAGACCTAAGACAGAATTAGCTTCTTGAACTGTCAAAAATCAAATATACCAAGGCATCACTGTTGATTTGTGAAAAAGTATCTATTTACAGTGAATTGAAATCCATTGTTAATGGGTTCAAATTCACAGTATTGATACTCAATGATACACACCAAAATATTTGCATTGTAAGTGATTGATCAAATCTTTCAAATGATACAAATAAACTTTTCAATTATTTATAAGAGTAATGTGAAATTACCAGCTTTTTAGCATCTTAAATATTTTAACTGATAAAATTATTGATAGCTTTAAAAATTCTTTCTCAAAACATTATAACTTCATTTATATGCCAAGTCCTTTCTGAATGTGGGTGATCATGGGCCTCCAAAACTTTTTTTTTTTTGTTACTTTAAATATTTATTTACTCTTTACCATCCTTGTTTGTCCCTGATCTGTCATCCATTCACTGTCCCCCTCCTCTTCTTTTCTTGCCTTTAATATGCCCTGCGAGGTGTTAAATTCTTTAGACTCTTTCCTAAGGACACATTCCAGAAATTTTAAGCATCTCTTTTTGATTGTAGGTTGCCTTGTTGCTCACATGTTCTGTCTATGGTATTCTTAGCATTCATCAGTAGAACCACATATCTGAGTAAACTGACCAGCATTCACTACTATAAAGGAGATTAGATATTGCATAGTCATTCAACACACTTTTCTTTGTTTCTAATATTTGCCTAAATCTTAATATTTTGCCTAGTTTCTGGAAGACATTTTTTTACTATTACTATGTGTGTTCAGATCTGTGTGTGATATTTCCTGCTGTCTATTATTACACTATCCAGACAGTTCAAATTCTGTACCAGTTTAATTTTGACATCTCCAATAGATTGCTCTCACCTTGGGCTGCTTCTTTTACTGACAACCACATATTGTCTTTTTACAGTTAATAGTTTTTCTTCTTAGTTTACATTACTACCTTGTCCAAGAATTCTTTAAGCCCCCAGACTGCCGTCAACACAGTGTCATCCATGTATAAGATTATGTCTGCTGATAATAAATCTTGATCCAATTGTAACAGACATTTATGTCACTGCTCATAATGAGTATAAGCATGTCCTCAAAGAGACAAAATCACTATTTGTTAAAAGAATGAGATCCTATACAACCTTTTATAAGTTTGGTTCTACAGATTACTGGCAGCTCTGCAAGAGCGTGCTGAACAAGAGCAAATTCTCAGTTCCTCCTCTCATCAATCAATTTGAAGTGTTGACATCTATTGAAGATAAGGCAGAGTGCTTTGCTCAGATATTCTCTTCCAACTCCACTCATTTGGAGTATCTCTGCTTGATTTTTCTCCTAGAAAAGAGACTATTAAGTGATATGCACATAACTCCATCCATAGGTTTTGCTATCATTTCTAAACTAGACCTCCACAAAGCTTGCAGATTTGACAGTATCCCTGCAATTGTTCTAAAGAAAGAAATGTGCTCACGTTCTCTGCAAAGTTTATAACATGGCTTGCTACTTCTTGCTTCCCAACACACAAGTCCTCCTCTGTAGTTCCTGTATTCAAAAACTCTAGAGTACCTTCTGACCCCTCAAATTATCATCCTATTAGTCTCTTACCTCTTGGCAAAATACTTGAGGCTCTAATCAACTTTCAGATAAACAATATAGCTTCCATTGCACTAGGTTTACTGAAAATTTATTAACAGCCATCACTGAATTAGTCTATCAAATTTTGGATAAGAACAGCAAAACTCAGACTGTGTCTCTAGATATCTCTGATGCATTCAATAGGGTTTAGAATGCTGGCCTTCTCCACAAGCTCAAAGTGTATGGTGTCTCTGGGCAAATATTTAGCATAATCCAATTGTTTCTAACAAGTCATGTAATGAAGGTCATGTTGAATGGGCACACTTATAGATAATTTCATATTAATGCAGGGGGCCCCCCAGGGCTCTAGCCTTGGATTTACACTGTTTCTGATCTTCACTGATCTTCCTGATGTTGTCAGTTCCCAACTTGGTATTTATAAAGATGGTGGTACAACTATTTAATCCTGTCTTAGTAGTAAGTCCAACAGATCCAACAAAGCCATCTGAATGACTGCTGCTAAACTCCAGGAAAGCACCACTATGTCTTATTGGGCTCACATTTTCCATTGACATGAAGTGGTTAATTGTATTGAATTGAATTTTTCTTGTCAGACTCGATCTTGCACATTTATAAATCTACCATCTGTCCATGCATCAAATACTGCTGCTTGTACACATATATATATATATATTATATATATATATATATATATATATATATATATATATATATATATAAAGTGAACATTAAAGTCAACACTCAGAGGCGACAGGCTGTTTCATGGTAGACGCTATCATCAGGCGGCCTGATGATTGCCTGTTGCCCGAGTGTTGACTTCAATATCCACTTTTAGATTCACATATGCTCTATCTCTGATGTTGAGCATTTTATCCGATAAATATAGCACACCTTAAAACTATACTTCTTCATTATATATTTTGAGATTCTTGACAAAATCCAAAGGGTCTGTAATCAATCCTGATCTGGCATCTTGACTTCAGTCACTTTCTCAGCAACATAATGTGATTTCCCTGTCTTATACAAATATTTTCATGTCAATTGTGCTGTTCTCTTTAGTGCCTTGACTGCATGAATTTAAGTGTACTACTAGATTGGCAACTAGAAATCACCATTTTACTGTTGAACTAGCTAGATGCAACATCAATTGCTATTTTGTCTTCCTGAATCCTGTTCCTTTGTCCTTTCTCCTCATTAAAGTCCTATCATTCTTTCACTGTGTCCCTGTAGCAAAAAAAAGAAAAAAAAAAGAAAAGAAAGTCTAATTCTATTAGGTTTGTCTCACAGTACAGGTTGAATAAATCTGATGAGGTAACATCCTTGTCTTGCTACTCTTTCTATTTTCATGCATTTACTGAACTTGTTCTCCGTCTGCATTCAGGCTGTTTGCATTTTTCCCAGGTAAATTAAGCTTTTCTAGTATTTCAAGCAGGTCTTTGTGCTGTATCTTATCTAATGCTATTATGAAGAATATTTTTTTCTGGAGAGTAACAATTATATAAATCTGTCAATGTAATCTGCAATCTCATGGGCAAGATTTATAAAATAAATGTCAAGAACTTTATTCATTCTAATGGTTTATATATGAGTGACAGCAAACTAATAGTAAAGAAAAAATTTAAATCATAGATGTATTTTAACAATGCATTTACACCTGGAATTACATTAACAAAATTGGTTTGAGTAGACCATAAAATTTTGGTATTTTAAGGTGACATCCAATCAATTTTGATTGGATTGTTCTCGCCAAGTAACTTTCTTTTCAATTTGTTGAATTTTTGTCTCTTGGAAGTTATTTTATATTCATTGATTTTTCATAAACATTTGTATCATGTAGTAACACTAACAACCATTTTGTTGTATATATTCTTATTTTTCAGCATTTTTTTTAATTAATTTTTTTTTTTTTTTTTAACTGTGACTCATTAAATTTACAGTCATTTCACCACTCCTCTGCTTAACTATTATCATTTTCTGTACTCACAAAATAAATGTTTCTGGTGTGTTGTGGAGTTAATTTGATGAGTAAACATTAAGTGTTACAATTTTTTTTGCTTAAAGTTTCAGCAAGTAATCTATGTTGCCCATTGTAAATCAGGAGAAACAAGATTTTCAATGATTTGAAATTAATACAAACATTACTGACACAACTGCAAAATAAAATTTTAAAATAAAATTATAAGATCCACCAAAATGGACAAGGTTTTTTTTCCAAAATGAATACACAACTTTACATTAAATCAAAATAATTAAGATACAAATCTCAAACAAGTTTGCACTACGCTTAATAATTAAGCACAAAAACAATTGAATCTGATTAAAAAAAAAAAACAAAAACAAAAAAAAAAAACACACAAACTCAAGAGAACTAGCACATAATGAAAGGAAAAGTGACTGGAACAAGAGGAGTCAGACAAAAATAAACAAAAAACTTTAACATGAGTAAATTTGAGAAAACATTTGAACAGTTATTTTTGTCTTCAAATAAGTTATCCACCTTTATATACAAAAATAAAATGTTAAATTAATTTTAGTTTGTACATAAAACAAAGCTTTTATAATTGATTTTAAAGTAGTTTTTCCTTCAGTTACTTCCTTTCACTTTTGACTATATTTTCAGAACTTGATCCAAATTTTTTTTAACCACACTAACTTTTTGCATCAGTTCTTTGCCTGACACACTAACCATCTCACCTTGAACATTAAATCTAACATATTAATCAATTTATATTGTATCTTTGTAATATGAATTTTATTCAAGAAAAGAAAAAAGAAAGAAGGCACCTGATGATACTTAAAACACTAAAAATTGTTAATTTTATTTGATAAAAGTCTTATCCTAAAAGGAGTGGGTGTACTATTTGATTCCTCAAATTATCACCCTGTTCATCTATCACTTTTTAGTAAAGTATGAGAGGCTCTAATCAAAACTGGTTAAGCATTTGACTTCACATGATCTTTCAGGCAAACAACAGGTCAACTGCCAATGTGTTAACAGTTATTATTGAAAGTGTCTGCCAAGCTTCAGATAAGAAGCTTGGGCTATGGCATTAGATATTTCAAAGGCATTTGACAAAGTTTGTCATGCTGGGCTTCTTCACAAATTAATTGTTTTAATTTGATCCACTCTTCCTTAACAAATTGTGTAATGAAAGTA